AGGTGAGGCAGTACCATAACAGACCTGGAGTACTGAGTATTTACAGGGGAAATTGACAATGAATGATTATCAATTTTGACAGGAAAATCAATAATTATAATACCGTATGACTTTTCCCCTAATGGAAGTATGGGCGAGGTACAGAAGTGGAATAGTAGTTGTGGTGATTCGTTGTGTCTGGCACTGGGCAGCCGAGCCTGTTAGAATACACAGTACTTTGTACAGAGTCTGGAAGAACGAAGAGGCATTGACTAAGTATAGAACCCAGAACTTAGCATTTCCAGGCAAATGGGATAGCATATTCAAAGGTTGAGAAGTGTGGAATAACATGGTACATTAGGGGAACAATCAATAATTTAGTTTGCTGGGGCACAATGTGTTCAAAGATTTGGAGGAAAGGGAGAGATTTTAATAAAGTTACCTCCGAAGCCATTTCCTAAAGGTTTTAATTACTGAACTGACATGATCATGCAGGGTATGGGGAGCCACAGAAGGGTACTGACTGAGGGGTGTTCTAATCGATTATTTTAGGAAGAACATACTGGTGGCAGCATGCTCTGGAGGAAGCTGGCTTTGTGATGTTTCTCTAGCATTATTTTTACTTTATAGGTCAACTGCAACTCTAAATGTTAGAGACCACAGTGTGTTTATTGTCAAGCATTAGAATGAAAACAAGGAACATTTAAGAAGGATTGTTCCTGTGTTTCCCAAACTCCAGTCACTTTTGTGATACATCATGATTTTTCTCTGATCTACAAATGATTTTTATTCTAATTTATTAAACATTTTTAACAGACTCATTTTTTCCCAACTCCAAAAGGGAAAATGCATGTCCCCAGGGAATAGCATTTGTTAAGGTACAGGTTTAGCCACTGCATATATATTATATATTAACATAAACCCAGCTATTAAAAATGCCCATCAAAGGGGTGCCTGGGTGGCTCAGTCGGTTAAGTGTCCAATTTCAGCACAGGTCATGATGTTGCGGTTTGTCAGTTCGAGCCCTTTGTTGGGCTCTGTGCTGACAGCTCAGAGCCTGGAGCCTGCTTTGGATTCTGTGTCCTCCTCTCTCCCTGCCCCTCCCCTGTTCGTACTCTGTCTCTGCTGGTAACTCTGCTGTTACAATGGCGGAGATAAATGGTGCCACAAAGAGCCTAAATTATTAACCATCTGACCCCTTACAGAAAATGTTTGCTGACTCCCACTCTACATCATGTTCTTTTTGTTGATGTTGTCAAATGTGGACCTCACAGGAAAAAGTAAATGCTTTGGACATCTTTATGACAGTGAAATAGGCATTTTTTTTTCATGTCAAAATCTAGTTGCTGCTTGTAGAAAATCTGATTTCCATTTTTAAAATTGATTTAGGTACCAGTGGAAAGTTTTTAGTATATTCTATTTGAGCATGATGTTTTTCTTTAATGATGAATTAGGAGGATGATGTATTCTGCCACTACGTAAAGAACAACCATAGTTAGCATTACCCTTGTGGTTTCCTCTTGTTAGTATTCAGATTATATTCTCTGTAAACTACATCTGAAACAGGCTAGAAATGTACCCTGTCAGGAGTTGCATTGTTGGGTGATGCATAAGAGATTCTAAAAAGACCCATATGGACAGTATGGCCAAGAGCTACAAGTCTCTGTGGAACTAATTACCTTCTCAAATCAAAGGGTCCTGGAGATCATCTGCAGCCTCTTGTGAAAGCATCTCTGTGCTGACTTTACCTGGGGCTTCCCTTTCTCTTAAACAAAAATGCTCATGGTTCTAAAGATAATGTTTTTGTCTTTGGTATAAAGTTCGTGGAAGATGCCACATGTTCTGGTCCCTATCAAACATTTCCCTCTATAAAGGAAAAGAAAAAATATATATATAAGTAAGATGAGAGAGAATAGAGTTAAGAACAATACAAGGGCAGTGTGAATGGGAGGGAATTCAAGATTTAAAGTAAATCAGATGAAGGTTTGAAGTAGCATCTGATGATGAAGGGGGTTGAAGAAAGCTGAAATCTTAAAATATTTCTTACATTGGAGGGATCATCTATAACAAATTCATTCAGTCACACAGAGAGTCTACCAGCTCCTTGTCTCTCAGGTGCTTGCCTGCCCACCAACCCTCCTCGTCCTCTTCTCTCTCTCCCATTTCTTGTCTTTTTCCTTTTCTTCTCTGATCCCTTCCTTCCCCCACCTCCTTTAAACTCGAGAAGTCTCATCCAGCACCATACAGAAATTTTCTTTCCAACTATTCCCCACTGAGCCCTCTGTGTTTTCTTTCTTTCTTTTTTAATGCTTACTTATTTTTGAGAGAGAGAATCAGAGCATGAGTGGGGGAGGGGCAGAGAGAGAGGGAGACATAGAATAGGAAGCAGGCTCCAGGCTCTGTGCTGTCAGCACAGAGCCTGATGCAGGGCTGAAACTCATGAACCATGAGGTCATGACTTGAGCCAAAGTTGGATGTTTAACCAACTGAGCCACCCAGGTGCCACTCTCTATATTTTTAAGTAATCTCTACACCCAACATGGGGCTCAAACTCAAAACCCCCAAGATCAAGAGTCATCCACTCTACCGAGTGAGCCAGCCAAGTGCCCTCTCTTCTGACTGAATTCTTCCTACATCACTTCCTGAACTACTCTTCTTAGTGAATTCCTGTCATCTTAAGCTTAATAGTTGAAATTTAAGAAATCTGGAGATCTGTCCACAAAGAATTTAGTTTTATGGCTACAAATGTATGGTTAGAGGGGAAATTTTAGGAAAATCTAGAAAAAGAAAAGGAAGAAAATAAAAATTAGTTACAGTTTGGGGCGCCTGGGTGGCTCAGTTGGTTAAGAGTCTGACTTGGGCTCAGGTCATGATCTCCCAGCTTGTGAGTCTGAGCCCCGCATCGGGCTCTGTGCTGACAGCTCAGAACCTGGAGCCTCTTCTGATTCTGTCTCCCTGTCTCTCTGCTCCTCCCCTGTTCACACTCTGTCTCTCCCTCTCTCTCAAAAATAAATATTAAAAAAAATAAAAAATTAGTTTCCCCTTTAAGTGTATTTCCTACCTATCATGTCTGTCTGTATTTAAAATTTGTAATTATTCTTCACTTCCTCTTTTATGCCTGCTTGTCTCACACCAGAATGTGAAAACATGTATTTCTCTATGTAATTAGTTTTCTGAAACTTGATTATGATCATCATCCAACAGCATGAGCCATAGTTCAATTAGCCTCCCCTCGCTGAACTTTTTCCAAGTTTTCTGTGTTATAAATAAAGACGCAGTGAACATCTCTGTGGCTCACATCTCTGGTGATTCCCTGAGAATAAAATGCATGGGAGTGTTACTGCTGCGTGAAAGGAGGGGTTGCACATTATCAAGGCTGTCACTATTCTGTAGCCAGCTCCTGAAGACAAGCGAAGGGACTTCTCCATCACACATTTAATGCGGAAGCTCAGCCTGATGTTTCACTTGAACGTCTTGCTGATTTTACTGCATCCTCAGTTGAATGTCATTAAGTAGTTTATTGACTCTTGTGTCTGGGGTGAACTTGGTATGTGAGAAACCGGAGTTTGAAGGAGATCAATCCTGGAAACAGCAGAGAGGCCAGGAGAAGGCTAAGTATTCCATCCAAGTTTGGAATAAGTCATCCAGTTCACGCTGTGACTGCCAGTGAATGTTCTCTTAACACATACTAGGTATTTTCAGGGAAATAAAAGATCAGAGTGGCATTGCCCTCACAGATTTACAGTCCCTATTGTTGACCATAAATACCAACTCTCTGCTCTGACCTCTTTTTTTTTTTTTTTTAATGTTTATTTATTTTTGAGAGAGAGAGCGTGTGCACGCGCAAAAGAGAGCACACCAGAGCCCGGGAGGGGCAGAGAGAGGGAGAGGATCCCAAGCAGACTCTGCACTGTCAGTGCAGAGCCTGACTCGGGACTCAAAACCAGGCACCCCTCTGCTCTGGCTTCTCTCTGGAAGGGGGGAGATAAATCCTTTGGAGATGAAATGCTTATATATTTACTTTTTTAAAAAGTATTTTTGCCTTGTTGAAATCAGAGCTCTTTACTCTCCCAATTTGTTCACTTATCTAGTTAAGAACTACTGTTATGTAAAAAATTCACTCTTGGATGATGTTTGAAAGGGACCTTTTTGTGTGAGCCAGAAGCTCCCAGTCGGGCCACCCCAGGCAGACACCATCCTGCCTAAAGTCTGCATCCATGATCTGGAATGGTCCCGGCTCATCGCTTTTTCATAGGGAAACAGGAGAGTGTAGGTTTCCAGTCACACATTTGCAATTGTCAGGGAGGGGCCAAGGATGAGAGGTGTGATCAGACAAGTCTTAGCATTTTATTGACATTTTAGAAGTTGTGGAAAGACGCTGACAAAGTCCAACTTTATTCTACTTGTGCTCCCTTTCAGGGACCAGACCAGTCCTTTGAAACATTCAGAGTTTTTAGCAGTTCCTCTTTAAAGAAATGCTATCATTCCATTCTTTGGGGAGGAATGAACAATGCCCCTTGTGTGTTCGAACCACTCAGAGCATTAATACACTGTTGCTTTAGAAGGATTTGCTTTCCCAAGTTGAACTTTTCAGAACTCAGAACACCTTATCACACTTGCAGAAAGCTTCTCTCTGAAAATGGAAAAAGCCAAGGGGGGAGAGCCTGTCAGGACTTGTGCCAGTTAAATCCGATCTCTCCGGGGATTTGTTTTTTCTTCTGGCGTCAGATTAGATGTTCAAATCAAGCAGTATTTGAGGGCTGCAAGGGAATGTCCATGGGATTCTTAGTGAGGCTAATCCCAAAGCGGCACATTCCAAGGGGCTAATCTGCCCAAGTTCATTGCTTACTTGAAACGTCTCTTGGGGGAAGAGCTGGGCAAGTGGCTTTTTTTCCAGTGGGCGGTCATAAGAGCATTATTAACGGGATGACCAGCCCCAGACGCAGCAAAATGAAAGCAACAGGCACCGCTCGTGAGACTGTCCCTGCCGCCACCCAGGAGTCAGTGCTCAGGTAAAATGATTTCAGCTCGTTTTCTTCTTGTTCGGCCTCCCAGGAGTGGATGGGGGTGGGGGGGGGCCTGCAGGAAGACCAAAGGAATGCCCAGGGAGATGCTGAAGGAAAGCAAAAGTCAAAAATGAACCTAGGTATGCAGTACCTTTGGGTCTTTGGGGTTTTGTTCTGATCAGGACAGAGTGTACGTTTGAAACAGGAGAGTCTCCAAAGAAGGAATATAGTGACATTTCGCTTGTAATTTGTTCCTCTGAAGTTAGTGAATTTTTTTCTCTTCTAATCTTGTGGTTACTGGTCTGGGTTGTTGGGTTGTTGTCGTTCTGTTAAGTTATCCAGCTCTAGGGTGGATTGCAGTAGCACTTTCCAAGATATTCTGGAGACAGATTGAGTAAGATTTAGTACATACTCGATGTATATGCTTGTAAACCAGTCCTGCCTGGAGAAGTTCTTGATTCTGGAGCTGGTGGGGAGTCGGAAGTAAGAAGCATCAGAGGAATTTGGGGAATTAATGTTTGTAGCAGAGCCTTTGTGAGAAAGAATTGAAACGTGCCTAAGTGAAATAACTTAATCTTTTTTTTCTTTTGAAGGCAATATTTACAGCTTTTGTTTGCTTGTTTCTATCATTTTTATTCTTTACTGACTGTACATTTTACTTTCAAAGTTAGTACTTTACTCTTTGAGGGTAATCATTATACTTTGTTCAAAATGTGAATGTCCTCATTTTTGCTTTCAGTACTATTTCCTTTAATTATTAGCCTTTGAAACCACTTCCCTGTTACACATCACACATGACTGATAATGCAGAAAGACAAGAAAGAAAATAGCCCTTCACAAGCTCAGTCATGGCGATGTGACCATTCTACCTTTAGAAAAGAACGTACAAAGTGGCTTTCTAAGGTCTGGTAGAAGCCATCTTTTCTAAGCGTACGTGAGACTTCCGAAGGATATTTAAAAATAAAAGATTTTAGGGCGTAGTGTCCATTGAAGTTTTGCATTAGAAGAGAATTAAAGGGTCAATGAGAAACATGGCATGTCAAAACTATTTCATGCTTTCTAACAACAAGGATAGCCATTCTGAGCTAACTAACTTGGATTCCGAGGGCAAGTATGAAACTCACACGGAGCAGTTCAAAGCCTTGGGACAAAAGAAAAGGGAATTAGTTTAGGGAACAAGTTAAACCATGATTATACTTCAAATTTGCCCTCTCCAAGAAAATAACTTTAAAAATCTAAGATCTACCCACACTGAAAACCTGAATAAAAAGCACAATAGAGCAAAGCCCACAGTAGAGCGTAGTCAGCTATGCATATACTTTGTAGAATTCCTAATTCATGTGTTTTACATGCATTCTTTCTATTATGTATTATAGATTTCTTCTTAAAAAAAGAACCCAATTCAATTATGAATGTTGGAGATATTTTTTTATATTACATTTCCTCCCCTGCCCCTGCAATTTTCCATGCCTTTACAAGGGGAATTGTTAATCTGCTTGTAATAAACTGGAAACTGATGTTCATTCCTTTTGCTAACAGTGAGGTAGGTTTTTCACCTTTGAAAAGGCAATGAGGGTGCTAAACTGCAACAAGTCACATTATTTTTAGAAACTAAGTAGAGTCGGCAACTCTATGTACTATTTCTGAGTAGAACTTGCAGGACCATCCAAGTTGAAACTGGGATCCATGAGTGAGAGAAATAATCAAGGTGCCCTTGAAAAGTCTAATTCATCCGCCATGGTCCCCCCTCTTCTCATGTTGTGAATCCTGTTGTAATTACATTTCTTTGTTAGAGGATCATTTGTTATAATGATCCTCCTTCTTTTACTTCTTGCTCCTATTACGCGGTCTTCCTAATCTCCCACCCCAGTCCTTTATCCTAAGGGGAGAGGTAGAACAGATAGCGGAGAGTTTATTACTCTACGTGTGAGGATAGAAAGAGGGAAAGATCCCAGTATGAGCTGGTTCTAAGCTATGCCTCTAGGAGTCCAGCACTGTCCAAATACCAAGGCGCTCCCAGGCATGCCCAGATGGCACTGCCCAGATCAAGGGTATTTAGTATCAATAATGTGTGATTTGGAGAGGCAGTTTAGGAGACTGGGTAAGAAGAGTATGAACTCTGGAGTCAGACTGTCCAAGTTTAAACTTGGTGCATCTCTCTGCCTCAGTTTCTTCAATGGTAAAATGGATATAATAGTAGCACGTCCTTCATGGCATTCTTATGAGGCTCTATGGAGATGATACATGTATATGGCACAATTCCAGGCACACGATGAGCCCTTCATAATATTAAGTATCGAGTGCCTACTGAGTTCCAGGTGTTCTCCCTGAATCAGGTGCTTCAGTAAATACAACAATGCTCTGAAGTAGCTATAATTATCTTTATGTTACAGAAAAGACTCAGGGAAGTTCAATAACTATTCTGTATACCTTGTTAGTGGTCAGCTAGGCTGATCATCCTCCAGGCAGAGAGAGATCAGAGGTCAGTTCTGTTAGAGCAGGGTTCATAGTGCTCTTGTCTGAACATGTGTCAGAATTTTTAGTACCAGAACCAACCCAGCGGTCCCTTTTCTTGAAATGAAACATGGTACCCAAATAATAATGCTAACAACTCAGTGTGTCAGCTATAATTATTGTGCCCATTTAATAGATCAGAAAAACTGAGGCCCCCCAAAATTATGTGACTTTGTCCATGCTGTAGAGTCCCACTCATGCCACTTTTTCTAACAGCAGAGCTCACACTGTATTCATGATACTGCTGTGTCTCGGGGAGTAGTGATTAGCACTCCCTCAAATTTGCAGATGCTTCCCCCCAAAAGATCCTTCTGAATTCTAGCCAAAGTGATCCACAAAGAAGAAAGGAATTACACTCTCCCTTTTCTGCTCCCCGAGGTTCAGGGAAAGTTGGTTTCAAATGTCCAGTGAGGAATATTTTTACCGTCTGTCTGCCAAGAGATGTTATCAATGAAAGTATTCAGTGTCTAGGAAAAATCACAGCCTATGAATAGTTTAACTTACAGGCTTTTCACAAAGATCAAGCCTGGTTATCTACGCCATTCAGCTCATTTCTGTTGCAAAGATGCAGCCACTGGCTTTTCCTATATATTTGAGAAGAAAAATTTCCATGAACAGACACTGGGGCCTTTCTCATGTCTAGCTGACAAACAGAACTGCAAGTGTTACCTTCCTGGTGTGAGGAGGTGTGAGGAGGTGCACCTTCCAGGTGCAGAGGGCCACCTGGATCCAGGGATCTCTGAGACAGGACGGGTGCTCCTCTTCATGTAGACAGTGCATAAACACTGACAAATGTGACCGTGTGACCACTTGTGACCATGACTGAAACAGGATGCAGCTCCTTTGTACCCCACAGGCATCCCCCATGTTGCCACTTTTACAATGTGCTTTGTCATATGAGGTAACCATGGCCTTCACTGCTGCGTGCTTACATAGACTCCCATCACAAGAGAGGAGGGAGATGCAAGACTAAGGATTGAGAGCAAATGAGAACTTCGCACAGTTTATACAGATGTCTAGGTCCTTGGCAGAGTCAATATCAATTAGGGCCACACATGTGGGTTTGTAACAGTCAACACTGGTCACTGAGGCCAAGCAAATCACTAAGTTGCACTTTGGGCCTGTATATTTCAAGGGTATGAATTTAGCCCTAATACTGTGTTAGAGAAAAGATGATGTCATGTAGAAGTAACCTTACAGGATGCTCCGACAACTTCCCTCTTAAATGCTTGGAGAAGGACTCTTCTGAGTAGTTTATAGGATCTCACGGGAGACTCCTCTACTCTTTCCAATGCTGGTAAAAGCTGCATGATGGACACTATGCTTGGGAACAAAGATAGTACAGTTTGCTGGAACTTCCTTTATCCTTCTGGGAACCAATCTCAGTGGCTGGACTTCTGGGCAGACAGTCCCAACAATGCCCATTCTAAGAAGCTGTATTTCCTGTACTTAAAGACATGTGGAAATAAAAAAGAAAAGAAAAAGTGCTATCTTCCTTCCTTCCTTCCAAAGGCATTACCTGTGAAATTTCTGACTGTGATAAAGACATTTATCTTCCTATGTTTCCATTTCCTTTTTCCCCTCCTGTATTTAAGCACTGCTAATTTGGATTTTAGGAAAAACATCATGATGGATTAGGGCTCTTGAGTTATATAATTCTCTTACCATTTCTCTTTCTTTGTCTAAAAAAAAAAATTGAATGGAAGTGTTAGCCGCGAGAACTTCATACTTATTCACATATATTTCTTCCCATCGCTGAATATTTGTAAGGTACAGGAATATGAGCATACTGCTCTGTGTTTTTCATTATCTCCGTAACTAGCGTTGTTTTTCTGTTCTCCAAAAAAACTTTAAGAATCTGTATACGTTTCCATCACTAACCATTTTTTTTATAATGGTCCTTTTCTTTGACTCAATATAATAATGTTAACCCAGTCAACAGGTTCTGACAGTCATTGGTTTTTGTTATATGCAGTGTTTATGTTTGAAGGAACTATTATTTCAATTCAGTTTATGAGATACTGAATCATGATGTAATTACGAAATTTTTGCTTCCTACTCAAAAATACTTGCGGGTTATATTCACCTTTTCTTTCTTTTTTTTTTTTTTTCAGGCTCAGAAATCCTGGATAGAAAGAGCATTTTATAAAAGAGAATGTGTTCACATCATACCAAGCACCAAAGACCCCCATAGGTAATCTTGCTGTCTCTATAATAAAGTGAGAACACAGAGTAGCAATTATGGGAACAAAACTATAATAGTAATCACTATGCATTACAAGGGAACCAATGTCAAATTAAAGATCATTTTTTTTTAATCGTTGCTGGACATCTCTGAAGCAATCTTATATGTATACACCATATAATGTGTTGCACCTGCAGTTAATTCTCTAAGAGCCTATACAAAATAACAGATACCCCATTCGGAAGGAATTAATCGCTGTCTATAAGTGGGCTATATATATTTTTAGTATGGTTATTCGTTTTCCCTTTTAAGCATTTCATCAAAATGCTTAGTTTGTACCAATATTCCCTGCCATAATGAAAAGGTATTTTTAAATAAAAGACTCCTAGAAGGTTACTAATTAGACTGCAGGCCTTCAGATGTCTGTCCAAGTACGTTTTTAATATCCTACTAATCTTACCTTTAGCTATCCTACTTACCTTCCTGGTTTTGCCTTAAAGATTAACAGCATATTAGGTAGGAAGCATTTGGGATGAAATAACATATGACTGTCTGGAAATGCCTTTATGAAAAGGCCATATAATCAAGTAATTTAAAATATAAAGTCCTATAGACTAGCTGCGTAACCTTGAGCAAATTACCTAACCTTCAAAACTGCACTATTTTACTCCTAAAAGGAATGTCATGTTATTAGTATTTAATAAATGATAACCATATATCAGTATGGTCATTAATAGTTGTAATTGTGGTACTAGTGAAGCATGAAGCATATGTATCAGTATTATAATGGTGGTGGAAAAGTATGAAAGACATTTTCATGATGTAAGTAGTGAATTTTGTTTTCAAAGATCTTGCAAATAATATTTCCAATATTTCAGGAACGCTTAAGCTGTAGGTTTTTATTCTTAGTATTGGATATTTGACAGTGAATGTCAATTGGGGAAAGACAAGTTAGGTTGTGACTCATATTTAAATGTGCATATTAAAATTCTTCCCTCAAAGCTGTGCAGTGGCCTTTGTGCAAGATTTGATAGATGGGAGGAGTGAGAAGTAGAAAAATCTATAGGACTTTTGTTTGCAGGCTCCAATCCTAAACAGTATGGCAGGTGTGGAAGGGGTGGGTGGCAAAGGCCAGGAGGCATGTTACAGCTTATACAGCTGAAGGAAAATGAAAATGGGCAGAAAAGAAAAGATCTCTGTTGGGTAAATCCTGGGTTCACTATTTGCCTGGTATAGCCATATTGTGGGATTCTGCCTAAGAATGGACTGGCTCACTATGGTTTGTAGATTTCTCCAGTAATGGCTGATCCAGGGGGTTCGCTTTGACCTCTTATGTTGCAGGTGTTGCTGCGGGCGTCTGATTGGCCAGCATGTGGGCCTCACTCCCAGCGTCTCCGTTCTTCAGAATGAGAAAAATCAAAGTCGCCTCTCCCGAAATGACATCCAGTCGGAGAAGTGGTCCATCAGCAAGCACACTCAACTCAGCCCCACGGATGCTTTTGGGACCATTGAGTTCCAAGGAGGTGGCCATTCCAACAAAGCCATGGTAATCAGAAAACCCTTCAGTTGCTTCCCAAGTTCTATCTCATGTCCTGTAAAGGTGTGGTGAAGAGCTGGAGGTTTAGTCTTTGGGCTTAATCCCCTCTGCCAGGTCTTGGCTGGGCAATCAGCTCTCACGACCTTGCCCCTGTGCATTTCTTCTCTCTTCTGTAGAATGGGGGAAAGAAAACCTTCCTCCTAGGATTTTTTAAATAATTAATACTATATCAGACCGTGACTATTGCTATTATTAATAGTAACAAGAAGCTTTCTATAGTGATCCACTATTTATTACTTACTTTCTGGGTCGCATCCATTAAAGCATGTTTTTCTATCTCCTTTGGTTTAAAAAAAAAAAATCTTACCTTTAAGTCTCTGTTTTGTCCTATTAGTAACTAGCATTTCTCTCAATTCAAGGTAGAAATGATCATCCGAGACTATTTCCTTCCCTGTTCTAACAGAGATCTTGCCACCTAAAGTGAGTGCTTTTGCTCTAAGCAGCTGTGTTCAATAATGTTCCCAGTAGAAGAACTCCACATGAGAAGCATTTTGTTTGGAAAAGAGGCTTTAGGAAATAATACAAATTTTACTTCTAAGAGTTGTTGCTTCTAAATTTCAGCTTTCATCATGAACCTCTCCCTACTTGGCTGACAGATTTTGCCTGGAGAAAAACATACCATATGTTTTTAGAAATTCTAGAAATGCTCTATTTCATAAGGCTTGTTTCTAACAGAGTTGGTTGAGGGTGGGACAGTTGGAGGTAGCTGCTCTCAGGCACACCCCAAAGTTTTCCAAGTTTGGAGAGGAGATTTTGCTTCGAGAAGCATACTGCAAAATGCAAGGGAAGTCACTCCACACTAGTTATAGTCTGAAAATGGGCAGGAGAGCCCCCCCTCTGCCCTCTCCTCGCCTTCCTCCTCCCCCTTGCATCTTTCCCCACTCTTGTAGGATTTTCTTCACCAAGAATGGCTGACTGCTCTATTCTCACAGTATTTCCGTAAGAAAATCAATTCTGAACTGTACGTTAGAGTGAAAACAATTTTGAGCAATGTATTGGGAAGAAGAGGGTGCTGGGTACAGCCTGGGGGAAAAGTGGGAGGGGGTGGTGGTTAGTCTTGGCCTATACAGAACCAAGGGCAGTGGAGATCTGGCAACTTCCTCATCCACCCAAGGGATGTTTTCAGCTACACAAAGTCATGAAGGGTCCCCAACTCAGCATAATTCCCATTCACAGTATGGGATGGAACCATACACACCATGCATTAATTAAAAGTCATGCCAGTTCACACTATAAGAAAAATGCTCAAAAGAAAAAAAAAAAAAAAAGAAGAATCATAGTAAGTAGTAGTAGTAGTTGTTAGTAGAAGAAGAGCAAAGGGATGGAAATGGATCCATGGACGGCCCAAGTTCTTCACTGGAAATACAATACGATAATGTTGAGAATGAAGTGACTAGCCACCCCCTCCCGCCCCCACAAAAAAGCCAAGTGCTGTAGATGAGGAGGTGGCTTAGCAGACAATACCATCATAGAGTGGCACACCCAGTGATGTCATAGAGTGCTTGAATGGTGACCCGAGGCTTTGTGCCCCACGTCGCACAGCTGATAAATGTGGGTTTTTTTTAAAGCTTACTTATTTATTTTGAGGGGAGGAGAATAAATGAATAGGTAGGGGAGGGGCAGAGAAACAGGGAGAGAGAGAGAGAATCCCAAGCAGGCTCTCCACTGTCAGCACAGAGCCTGACCTGGGGTTCAGACTCATGAACCATGAGATCATGACCTGAGCCAAAGTCAGATGGTTAACTGACTGAGCCACAAAGGTGCCCCCACAGGATGGATGTTTATTATGATATTTAATGGCAGAGGAAAAACCTGAAGAGGCACATCTTTCACTATGCTCTTCAAGGGTGAACACATAGGACATCGAACTTTGTGAGCCCTCCCCAAGCCCCACATAGCTCTGTGAAACCCAGAACTATCTGTTGGCAATTGGGTTAGGCACGGTCTGCTACATGATTTTCTAGAGCCCAGTGTGAAATGAAAATGTAGGCCTCCAGCAGGGGCAGGGAAAGCAATCCCCCTTCTCACGGCCAACAACCCCAACACACGGTGGACAGGCGACAGTCCAAGGAACTGCTATCTCTGTAGTGGGACAGGCTCAATATCTGGTGTGGGTGAGCTATGCCACGGAATCACCTGTGAAACACACCAGGGCCCTGCCAGCCTAAGGCAGGGACAGCTGTGTTCTTGCTCTGTCCTGAAATGCTGCAGGGAAAACACCCACCCCACCCCTCACCTTGCCTGTGCTCACATCCCAGGCAGGGATGGAGGGTGAGGATGGAACAAAACCCCATTGCTTCCCCAGGCGACATTGTGGAGGGAAGGTTAGACTGGCCAGGACATCAGAGGTGGGAGCAGATGGTCAAGATCCCCTGCCCCAGGGAGGCAGCAGGAGGCGGGATGTGGGACCATGGACCACACGTGAGCCAAGGCTCCGAGCCCTCTGCACGGGCTCCACTGCCCCATCAGACTTTACCTACAGAACACAAATTCCAGGCTAAAATTGTTAAGAATTCCAAGAAAGCAAGTGCAGAGCACTAAACCATAAGCACTGCCTTTCTGAGCGGTGTGACAATGCTGGTCACACACCCTTGAAGCCAACACTGAGACTGGGTCTCACCTATACTAGATGGTGTCATGGCAGTCACTGTGAGGACAAACCTTTCTTTAAGAGTCTAATCAGCCAAATGAGGGCCAGTTTTCTTCCCTTTTTTTTTTTAACAACCAAATATTTAACAAGTGGGAGTCCCCACTATTCAGACACAATGAGCATTTTGTCCACTTCGAATACTTACCCTTGAATTATTCTGAGTCTCCTGTCTAAACAAAGGGGTGGAGCTGACAGCCGGTCAGATGTCTTGTTTTATCAGGCAGGATGGTTGTTTTGTGCCAACCTGTGCCTTCCTTACTTCTCCCCTCCCCCCACCCTGCAACAAACTGGCACACAAAGGGAAAAGTCAGCAACTACTGTCTGTTAAAGAATATCAGTCTTCAGATGGGGAGGGCATGGTTAAATATTCACCACAATTGAAATGAAACAGGTCAACTAACTTCACGTCTTTGATCCCTGTTCCTGACAAAAATATTTGAAAGTTGAGATGGTTTTTAACTCTAAAAACTCTATAGAGGGCAGATTAACTTTGACCTTTATTATTGGGAAAAAAAATATATAGACCATTAATTTTTTTCCTTCAAGACAGCCCAAGATGAGGTGCTTGGGTCTTCAAAATGCCATTGTGGTCTGGACACAATGTGAGGCAGAATCTGCCAGCGTTTGGTAGAAGTTTCAGTTGGAGAGAAGAGAATCTTTATTAACATGTGCTGGGCCACGTGGGAACCATATCTGCTCAGGAACATTATGCAGGTGTGTTATCACATAGGCAGTATAGCAGGATGTCAAGGAGCTTTGGTCACCAAAGATGCTTGAGGGGATTGATGCAGTGGTTCTCTGCTTGGAGGCTCACGGTAGCCTGTGGGCCACTACCAACGTCCATGGCCACGAATCACGCCCAGAGAGTCTCCCTCATTGGGCAGGGATAGAACTTGGGCATCTTAAGTATTTGAAAAGCTAGCCAAGTTATTCTATTCAGAAAGGCTTAAAAAAGTGCTAAATAATCTCGCTCTCTCTACCTGTATTATAGATGAGGCAAATCAAGCCCAGAGAAATTAAATTGTTTTCTGAGAGGTCCTCCTTTATTCAACGACAAAGATAATTCTCAAACCTGGGCTGCTCAGGATTCCCCATGAGTTCTATTTCTTCTCTGTCGTGTATGCTTGGTGTAGTCTATAGGAGATGTTTCGAAGGGAAGCTAATTACTATTATTTTTCTAGCTCTTTTATAAGGGTCTTGAGAACTTTGTAGTAGAATTATAAAATTACTCTTATTTGATGAGGTTAATTAAACTCAAAAGCTGTAAGCAGGAGGAAGTCTTTGTAACATTACATCCTAGGTTAGTAGAACCATTTTCTGAGCCTTTCCTAGCACTTTGTGGTATTCTGTCCTCAATTCCCAGGCGCGTCGAGCCTGGGAAAGTACAATAGCAATGAATCCAGCATCTCTCTCCTTTTGCAGAGAAATAGTGATCCAGGAAGGAGGCACTCATAGCTGATAGCGAGTGAAGGATCCTTCCTCCCTTTCTTCTCAGCACCAAGCCATGTCCTACCAAATTGCATGCCCCAAATGTCATCCCTGGCAGTTCGTTCAAATACCTCTTAAGAGTGAAAACGTGAGGACCAAGGAAGAAGATAGTGAGATACTAAAGCTCTGGGTGAGACATTGTCTTCCTAGCGTGAGCGCCAGGTAGCTTTTTAAAACTAACTTAGGGAGCAGTAGGAAGATGGCCCCAAAACAGACACTGGGTCCTCTCTCAGAGACTCTTCTTTATCTGGGGCTACAGCTGTAAGTTATTTAGAAAAGATGACAGTGCTGGACTTGATTATATGGAATCGTATTTGCTACTAATCATCTCTTCCAATTAACGCTGAGCCGTCTTGTGGAGCAGGTAAGTATCACCTAATTAAGGACTTGTATTTAAACCTCTCAAGTCGTTCGCATAATTATCTTCAGGTTTTCCCTTGCTAGTTACTCTGCTTATTAGATCGGGTTGAGCCCCTTGTTATAGTTTTTATATAATTTAGATAATTATTCCTATGCCTCATTGTCACACTTAAAGCTCTCACTGTTGAGTGTGAAAGCCTTATTCTCTGAGCACTGCCAGTGGGAGGGAGGGTGAGAGGGAGGCAGGAGGTTCCAGGTTGCTGGGGACACCCCAGGGAGTGAAGAGTCTGTCAAGAGTGAGGCATCTCCCGTCTTATACTCTTTAAACACTTCAGGATTGAATTTGATTTTTTTAAACATGTCTTTCTTTGCATTATGCAAATTTAATCTGGGAATCGTCACTGATTGACACATACCAAATATGAAATTAAATGAATTCTATTTTACAGAATAAAAGAGCCGATCACTAGACTATGGCTAGCTAAACAGCTTTACATAAGCGTTCATATCATAAGATATCATAAGATATTTGAGGGGGTTGGTAATTGTTCCCTTGATTTCCACTTTCCATCTTTTAATCTTTAGGCCGCTGAATTAGCAGTACCTTGGGAAGTCCTTTCTGAAACTGAGACTAAAACTAGAAATTATCACTCAAACTACTGGTCCCAACGCTGACCTGTAGGAAAAGAAGGAAAGAACCAACTTGCCTCTGAGAAACCCATCTTGCCTCTAGAAAATTCCCATCTCCTTGCCTCTACCAAATTTTATGCTATATAATTCTGGCAGGAAATGCAGAGACCACCCCCTTGAGATCTACTTCTATCTCAGTGAAGTTTTATATTACTAAACCTTTAGCTTTGGCTTATCAGCCAGCACCATTGACCTGGAAACACCCGGTATCTAACATCGAGAAATCACAAAAACAATACAGAATAAATTACAATGGCACTTTCATTCCCAAAGTTGTTTGGGTCATCAAACCAGGAATGCAGTAACCAGTGACACGACACATTTGTTTTCCAAGTATTTTCTTTCTAGGGAATTGTACATGCATTGAACCACCACCAGTATTAAACTCTCACTGCAAAACTAACCATGCCAGAGACTTAGAGAGCCAGTATCAGCAAAATTATCTTAGCAGTCTGATATGACATGGTCTCCTTGGCCACAGCTTTAATTAAAAGTACTCATTTAAGAATGTGGCTCGGGGCGCCTGGGTGGTGCAGTTGGTTAAGCGTCCGACTTCAGCCAGGTCACGATCTCGCGGTCCGTGAGTTCGAGCCCCACGTCCGGCTCTGGGCTGATGGCTCAGAGCCTGGAGCCTGTTTCCGATTCTGTGTCTCCCTCTCTCTCTGCCCCTCCCCCGTTCATGCTCTGTCTCTCTCTGTCCCAAAAATAAATAAACGTTGAAAAAAAAATTTTTTTAAAAAAATGTGGCTACAAGAATTAAAAAAATAAAATGATGCTTATCACATTTCTCAACATAAAGAAAACTAGGCCAGATTTCCCCCTACAGCCTGGGAAGAAAAGCTTTAAAAGTAAGCGTTCAAATAGAGTTAGCAGTGGTAATTCCATTACTCTGAACAAGCGCTACTCACAAATGCCACTCCATAATTTCCCAGAAGTAAAGATGGCTTTGCAGTATTAGGATTTGTCATTTATTGTTTCCAGGAGTGTAGCCAGGTTTATCATTCTGCAGCTTTTCCATTTTCACTTAGACAACTGGGCAAAGTTACGTGAGTAAAAATTTAGGGCTGAAGAGGTCACTCGTTCATTGTCAGAGCCAAATTGTTCCACCCACTCTCAAGTCCAGAATACCACAAGGAGAATTATTACATCCTAAGTAAACAGCCCCAGCCTTCTCTGAGTAGTAACAACTATTTCTCTCCCCACCCCACCCCCCACGCACACATACAACACACACCCAGCCTCTGCCCACCCTGGGTGTTATAAAGGGAGAACGATGCTGTCTAGTCTGTGACACGTCTACAAGCCCCACATGAGTGGGGAGTGAGGCCATGGTAAAGTTGAGTCCTGTTCTGATGAACGAATCGTAACATTGCTAGTGAAGAAGCAGGAAGAGTGGCATTAGCAAAAGCTCCCGTGAAGTCACCTGCTTTTACCAAAGAGACCTTTAGAATCAAGAACAAAAACTCAGGCTTCAGTTACCAAAGCCCTGTGCCCTTCCAACAAAAACAAAAGAAATCCGTAGTTTTCAATGATCGTCTCTCACAATTTAATTTACCAGTTGGTGGTTTGCTCTTCAAAATATGTGTTCTTTATGGAAATCATGCTGGATGCATTGGCCTCCAAAGCACCTGAGAACAGATCAAATGGTACAATTTCAACTAAATCAAACCTCTATTTACTGAAGAGCATTCTTGAGGTGCTGGCCTGGATGTCATCCGCTCATCACCCATCAGCCAGGCAGGGGCACTAATGATAGAAGGGAAAAGAAGACGATTATTCTAGGCATGGGCAACCGGTTTGAGCTCAGCTTATCTCTAGAAATTATAAAGTGAGGAACTAAGGGCTCATGAGAGAAGGATGGGCCAGGCAGCCTAGAGCAGAGGTGGTAGTTTTGCTCTCAGCAGGTGCTTTTATATAGATAGATAGGGGCGCCTGGATGGCTCAGTTGGTTAAGCGTCCGACTTTGGCTCAGGTCAGGACCTCGTGGTCCGTCGTTCGAGCCCTGCGTCGGGCTCTGTGCTGACAGCTCAGAGCCTGGAGCCTGCTTCAGATTCTGTGTCTCCCTCTCTCTCTGTCCCTCCCCTGTTCATGCTCTGTCTCAAATAAACATTAAAAAAAAAATTGTTTTTAAAGAAATGCACAGATATAGATAAACAGCTGCACCAGTCACTCCCCAGATAACTCCGAGTTGAGAAACAAAAGGCTACTTTAACATATCCACTAAAGAGTTAAAGGACAGATATTTGGATCCCATCGTATGCACAAGTAATTTAAAAGGTGAGTGTAACCTGTATTCAATTTACATGTATTGGTTTTTCTCCCACACCAGGTGAGTTTCCACAATTTAATCCTCCTAGCGTCCTGTGAGGTGGTCAGGAGCGCCAGCATTTCACAAGAGAAGGTGCTCAGATTGGCCAAATGTCTTAGAGCACCAGTGCCTGATGCTAGAGTGTGGCGCTGCCCGTGATGGGAAAATCTATAAATGGAAGCACATATCACTCACCACAGCAGAGTAATGCCCAGGTGACCAGGTTTAGTATACCCATCAGGAAGATTTCTTGTTATTTGTAAGGTGATCCCTTAGCAATTAATGAGCTCACATGTGGACAGTCAAAACTGCTTATCTTGATGACCAAGAGAGCTCCTCATTTCAAATCACATTGACCGTTTATTAATTACTCTGGGAACAACCATTTATGACCTTGAAGCTGCTGATTCGGCACATGAGTTAGCTGTTCTATTACAAGCACCTGGAGAGTTCACTGACTAACTTGCTTTTTATGGGTGTAAGAGTAGAATTTAAAAATTGACATCTTCAGATAATTGTACAGTGTCATTGTATCCCTTCATTTTAATTAGCCTCTTATCCCCAAACCACTTACTGAGTTACTGAACAATAACAATGACAAAAAGCAATTAATTGATTCATTTAAATTCTTCCTTTTTAAAAAAAGAAAAAGACTCTTGCCTTTTATTATCCAAGGGTCAGGTAGTTGGAGGTAATTTGGGTAGTCTGAAAATGGTTGCACTTTCCTATTTATTGTCACCTGAATAATTCCTCCAGTGTTTCCTCCGTTCTTCTCTATGATTTTTCATGTAAAATACTGAGTGTTCTTTTTTCCCTTTGGCCCAATGACAAACCCAAGACACCACTTAGAATCTTTGGTCTGGGGAGGAGTTGTAATCCTTGCTTCTTACATGGTCCCCCAGGAGCTAGTGAGAAATAAAAAACATCAAACCCCACCTCGAACCTACTGAATCCCAACCTGCATTTCCGACAAGGTCCCCAGGCAAGTTGTGCACGTTAATGTTTCAGAAGCACAGCTCACCCGAGAGTTTTGCACCGCAGCAGTAGCTTAAATAATGGATTACGTGAGTGGTTGATTATTAGACAGCTAGCTCTCAGGTCTCAGTCCCTCATCTTCTAGGGGTCTACTGTCTTGCCCTGTAAAGCAGAAAAATTGAACTAGAGGATTTCTAGTTGCCATGGTGGCCAAGATATTGCTAAGTTCCCTTTGATTTCTAAGACTGACTACTTCGTAGCCAGTGTGAAAGATCAAAAATCACAGTCAAGTCAAACACAGTGCCTGCCCTCAAAGATCTTGCAGCATGGGCAGAGAAAACGGACACGTGCAAGAAACAACCAGAAAAAAAAATCCAGTTGGGTTAGGTTGATAGTTATGCTGCATCAACATGAGCTTGCATTCTTAGGAAAAGTAAGTAAAAGACTTTGAAAGATGGGAATGATTTCTGTAGATGACAAAGAAAGGAACTGGGTTTTCTAGGATTTAGGGAACAGCATTAGCCAAATGCAGAGAGAAGTGGGGAACACCTCTAGGTGGGGTCAAGCTAAATTGTGGGGGATCATGACAGGCAGAATTAGAGTTTATATATAATGTAACAATTTGAACTGAAAAATAGTGTGATCAAAAAGGAATTGGAGAAAGATCTCTGTCGGTGTCTTGTTGAGGACGTGGGGTTAGAGAAACCGTTTGGAGGCTGTTGGCATAATCCAAACTGACATCCTAGTAAGGAGAATGTATTCCTAAAGTGGCAACTGAAGGAATAGAGGGAAAGCCCTGGCTGAAAACATTCATTTCAGAAATGGATCGTTAGAACTTTGAGACTCCTTATAGGTAAAGCAAAAGGAGACGGAAGGTGGAAAGGGCACTTTTACTTTGAGGTCAAGAGCAAGGACTCTGGCGTCAGCAGACCTGGGCTATGGACCCTATCATTACCACTTACTATTGGTTGAACCTGATGGATCCTTTCTGTTCCCCATCAGTGAAATGTGGATGATACCAACCTCGTCATTACTGGGAGGAGTCTGTGAAATAATGTATGTTGCAGGAGTGTAGTAAATACACAAGGGTCTTGGTTTTGGGTTTAGGGTTTTTGTTTGTTTGTTTGGTCGTTTGTTTTCTCAGAGTTAAGAAATGGAGAGCAGAGAGAAATATGTGAAGAGGGCCTACCAGCAATGTGACCTTACACAGACAAGACACCTAGTGCCTCTGTTTCCCCATCTGTAAGACAGAGCAGGGGACAAGGTGATTCAAGGTCGTTCATTCCCTACTAGAGCATTTACCAGAGTAATAAGAGCTCTGTGGTCATGAGCAAGCTTTCCTTAACTGGGAAAAATATTAGGCTAATTCAAAAGGAATTTTAATACATTCAGTAGATTTTTTGGTCACTTTTATGAGGTTCTTTTTTTATTCTCTTTTTTTTAAGGTGTAAGAGGGTGGATAAGAGAACAGTAATTTTAAAAAGCAATTTTTTCTCATCTCCCACACTAAGCATTTTTGGTTTGTCTAGTTGGGAAGCCTTGTGAGTCCCAGTCCTAATTTATTTCACTAAACACCCCTTTCTGGAATTGGTCAAAATGACATAAATTCAATTCAGCAGAGCTGCCAAATTTTAACTACTCAAGTGGCATAGATTCAGTGCATGGGGACAGAAAGCACTTTATTCTTTGATCTTATAGCGTTTGTTATCTAGATATTTTTCATAGAGTCACTCAGTGAGCTAATAAATGTAATAATAGAGAAACAATAACATAGCCTTTGTTTAAGAAACACTGTGTTTGCATCTACCACTCCAGTAACCACCCTTCAGCCCCAAAGCTCCTTGTGTGGCACCAAAATGCATGCCGGTTGTTACTGAAAATTTCTGTTGGTAGATCTCAGAAAGGTCTTATCCTCTGCAGGAAAGCTTGTGTGTAAACTACGCCAATTCACACATTGTAAACTCTAGTTACGATTCTCTTGGTATAATGCATTTAGCTAAAATTGCCAACCTTTACTCTTTCTGTTCTGGAATTGGTTTTTGCTACGTAGATTAAATCAATATAAAACCAGCTCATTAGATCCCAACACCTCTTTGGATTTCTGGTATTGGTACGTAGGAAACTTTAGCTCCTTGGTATTTCTGGGTGATGCGGTTTATTTTGTCAAGCTGCTTTCATGTTTTCAGCTACTTTGCCTCTTGTTTCAGTCAAATATATTTAAAATAGGCTTTAACAAAAGAATTGACATAATTTGAACTTTTTTTTTTTTTTTTTTTGCAACAGCGGGGGCTCTTAGATCCAAAAATTTTGCGATAAATTGTCATCTCCTGTATGACTTTCTTTACTTATACATCTAAAAGCATATGTTTGTGTTGCATGCACGTCTGGTCTTTTCGTGGTTCTACTACTTCAAGGTGAATACTTAACAATTTCTGAAGTTAGTCAGTACCTTTCTTTTCTCTCCCACAGGACATACAGAGTTTAGAATGCTTTAATGCTGATTGCTCCCAACTCACGTATATGCTGTAATATCCACTGCTTTAGCCCTTTCCCACCACACATTAGATATTATCATCATTTTATATTATGCAGGCAATGCTTTTTTAGATTTACAGTGTATTTGCTAATTTTTTTGTTGGCCATTCTTTCTTGTATCCCAGATCGTCCATGTGGGATCATGTAATTTCTCCCTGCTGTATATATCTTAAAACTTCCTTCAGTGAAGTCTGCCGGAGATAAATGCTCAGTTTGGGTAGTCTGAAAATGTCTGTAATTTGCTCTCATCTTTGAAAGATATTTTCGCTGAATATAGAATTTTACACTGACAGATAATTTCTCTTGGCACATTGAAGGCACTGGCTTGTGGCACCCATTTTTGCTGTTGAGGAGTAGACCTTCTGCCTTAAAATGACTGTTTCCTTGTAGGTGGTTTGTCTTATTTTCTAGTGGCTTTTGAATTTTTCCTCCCTTCTTTTGGTGTTCCCTGTGAGGTGTCGCTGAGTGGGGTTTGTTTTTATTTATTCTGCTTGGGATTCACTGACGTTCCACGATCTGAGAATGTGTATCTTTCAACATTTCTGAAAATTTC